AAGGAAGGTTGGGCAATCCTACTTCCGTAGTGATACTGCCTCAGAAACCCAAGGAGGGGTCGCTATGAGTCGGGGCCGACTCGACAGCAAACAACAACAACAACAACAATTGTAGTACTGGTGAAGAGTATTGACTACCATAGACTTCCAGAAGAACAAACAAATCTGTTTTGAAGTATACCCAGAATGTTGCCTAAAAACGAGGATGGTGACACTTCTTTGTCTCAGTTACTTTGGACATGTTATCAGTTGCTGGAGAAAGACATCATACTGGGTAAAGTAGAGGGTCAGTGAAAAAGAGGAGATCCTCAACGAGATGGATTGACACAGTGACTGCAACATCAGGCTCCAAAATAGCAGATTGTGATGATGGTGCAGGACCCGGCAATGTTTGGCTCTGTCAGAGCCGCCTTGACAGCAGCTGCCAGTAACAATAGGTTAGGAGAGGGCAGAGTTTAGAAGAAAAATAACTACTTTGTAATGTGTTGAATTTGAAGTGCTTATACAATGCTCATGTAAATATGTCAATAAAGCGGATGGTAGAAAGTACCTAAGGCTAGACATTTGAGGGTGGGCATTAGGGTCACAAAGAGCTCTGATGGCATAATGGTCAAAGCATATGGCTGCTAACTCAAAGGTTGGCGGTTTGAACCCACCAGCCACACTGTGGGAGAAAGATGAGGCAGTCTGCTTCCGTAAAGATTTACAGCCTTGGAAATCCTACAGGGTATTCTACTCTGTCCTATAAGGTTGCTATGAGTCGGAATTGACTCGATGGCAGTGGATTTGGTTTTGGTTTATTGTCAGAGTGGAGAGGATGTGAAGTGAGGCTGCTGCAGAGACAACAGATCCAGGCTAAATGGAAGGACAAAAGGGCCACTGGGTGATCCCCAGTCTCTCAAAGCTGAAATGCAGGTGTCAGGGTATAAAAAAACAAAAGGACTACAGGATAGGAGATAGGGTGTTGGTGTCTAAGATTTCCAGAGACAGGTCACAATATGTATGGCCAGGAGAGTGGGTGGCTGAAGTGGAGTCGAAGTAAAATTCAGTACATTTGAGGTGTCCATTGCCTACCAGATCTTATTCATGATCATATAAACCCCCTGGGATATGACAAATCTTGGCTCCGACTTGACAGCAGTGAGTTTGGTTTGGTATGGTTTAAATGAGTATAACTTTTTAAAAAAGTGAGGAAGTGATTACCTCGGTAGAGTCCTTGGGTAGTACAAACAGTTGATATACTTTGCTGTTAACCAAAACGTTGGCAGTTTGAGTCCACAGAGAGGTTCTTCTGAAGAAAGACCTATGGGGCACAGTTCTACTTTGACACACATGGGGTCACCATGAGTTGGAACTGATTTGATGGCAAATGGTGGTAGCAGATGATAAAACTGTGTAGCATGTGCCCTGAATGAGAAAGGCAGAGCAGGAGAAAAGTGATGTCATTGAAGGGGCTTTGGAACTAGCAAAATGCAGGATGCAGAATGGCCGGCCTCCTGTCTTGCTGGGTTTCTGAGAAAGCAGGATTCTTAAGGGCAGTGCTCCCAAAAAGCATCAGAGTCACCTGGGGAGATCTTGGCATCCCTTCCCCACCACATACATCTCAGACCTGCTAAATTGCATGTTTGGACTGGGCTGGTGAATTTGTATTTTGTATTTTGTATTTTTTAGCAAGCCTCCACAAGGTAATGCAGCCCAAGGGAACCATCTTTCAGATGAAGCCACCAAAACCTGAGAACCCAGAGGTGACGGCTTACAATAGAATGGAGCTCTGGCGAGCCCACCGAGGAGGACTCAAAGAAAGGCTGGAAGGAGAAAGAATGGTGACTGGGGGAGTACAGAGCACACACCAGAGAGTCTTGTATTTAGGGCAAAGGGAGGGAGGGATGAGAAATCTGGTAGGATTATCTGGCCCTAAAATTCTAGTCTGGCTCCAGGTGAATCAGGGCATCTGTAACTCCATCAAGAAGTTCACAGCTTCTGCTTCTAGTCACCCTCAGGCCTGAAACTGAACTCACTTCTGTGGCTTCCAGCCAAACAACAGACAGACATATAAGGTGGACATTTACACCAGGTAGGTATACTCCTTAGAACAATAAACCATGGGAGATCAGAAGGGCAGTATTTGCACAGGGAGAAAGCTCAGAGGGCAGGAATGCATAGGAAAGGACACAGGGAAAAGGTAACCACAGGGAGGAAGTGGGAACACAGCTGCTATATTATGGGGATTATAATTAATATCATATACCAAAATGTGTATGGACTGTAGTATTGAAAATAAATTTGCTCTGTAAGCTTTTACCTGAATCACAATTTTTTAAAAAAAGGTTAAAAAAAAAAAAAGTCTACAACTTCTGTTCAAATGAATTTGACTCAAGTGGTTTTTGAGCCCCTGAAGAGCCTCAACCAAAAATTCAGCAGCTCAAACCCTCCAGCAGGTCCGCAGGAGAAAGAGAAAGATGACACAGACTTGGAAACCCTCTGGGCAGTTCTACTCTGTCCCATAGGGTCACCTTGAGTTGGATTCAACTGGATGGCAGTGGTTTAAAGAAGCCTGCCTCCTACAGACTCAGCAGGGATCGGTCTCTTTCTCGCCCAGCCATTCAAATTTTGAAGTTCCGCAGAGCTCTGTCCAAGGTCTCCACTTTTTTTCTGAATTCGCTCTCCCAGTTAATCTCACCTCTTTCCAAAGCGCCAAACACCATTTACATGCTGATGACACTCACATTTACATCTCTAACCCAGAGCGCGACCCCCAACCAAAACTCCGGACCTGTTTTATTGCCAGCTGCCTGGAATCTCCTGCAGACACCTGATAATTAGCATTTCTAAAGCTGAACTCACCCCAAAATTGTTTCCTTCAATTATTTCCTATTTCAATTGGTAGCATCACTACCTACCCTATCCACCAAAACCAGAAATCTGGAGGTCACTTTACGCTTCCTTTCTTTTTCCTTCACCTCTCTGACTCCACGCTTGTTGCTGCTGTTGCCGTTGATCACATACTTTATTGTTGCATTAGATGCTGTTGAGTTGGCTTGCACTCTGTGTATCACAGAAGGAAACGTTGCGCACTCCTGCACCATCCTCACACTCGTTGCTATGTCTGTACCCATAGTTGTCACCACTGTGTCAATGCATCTCATTGAGGGGCTTCCTCGTTTTAGCTGATCCTCTACTCTGCCAAGCATCATGTCCTTTTCCAGAGATCAGTTCTTCCTGATAACATGGCCAGAATTACATGCGTATGAGATGATTAAAAATACCGTGGGTTGGGTAAGGGCACCTTAGAGCTCAAAGGACAATGGGTTTTTTCAAGCACGTGCTAAATCACATCACAACAGAATCCCTTCACTCTTACATGCCTACAGCTTGAACTCAAGTTCCCGCATCTCTCATTTCAATTAATGCAATAATCTCCTAACTAGAAACATGGCCCCATGTCAAGTGATTTCTGGGAGAGAGCATCCTCCAACATTCTCACCAAAGACAAATCACAGACTTCTAAAAAACAAAGGCGACAAACTGTTGACTAAGACATAAATACCACGTTCAGCAGGACACACAAAGCTTCAAATGGGATCCTACTCACTTCTGTTGGGTCACTTTCCCCCTACCTCCCCAAATCTTTTCTAGTTGTGAAATATTTCCATATATATATATATATATAAGCATGGTGGTACAGAATGCACACTCCAATTAAAAATGGGAGGATGCCAGGGGGATAATGGTGCAAGTACCCTCTTTCTCCCAGAGCCTGATTCTGGACCTTTGAACTATTTCCTGGGGAGTGTGTTTGTGTTTTCCCTGGTGAGTCAGAGGCAAATCCAAGTTTGCCATCCACTAGATAATGCCCAAGACGTGTCATTCTTACATATCACATTGTAATACTATGCTCTTTCTTAGCTTATTGTGAAAGTGCACAAAGAGAAAAAGACCCTGGATCCAGCCAGTCTTCTAGGTTGCATTCTTCCATATCCATTTGTTGTTGTTGTTGTTGTGTGCCGTCGAGTCCATATCCATAGAGGTTAGTTAAAATACTAGGTAATTGCCAAGCAGAAATTTTAAAAAGAAAGGGTATCGGCATAGCCTGCAAACGTGACGCCACTTAAAGCACAAAAACATTTTGCCAAAACATGTTTGCCAAAAATATTTCTGATTTAAAAAAAAAAAAATTGGAAAATGCTCAACCACTCTAGAAAGTTTGGTTGGCATTGCTCCACACTCCTCAGTTTTAAGGGATGCCCTAGAAACGTAGTGATAACGCATTTTATTTTAATCATCATCTCATTAGAAAGTTGAAAACCTGAAAAATTACTTCCTAAGCTGAAGCTCTCCCGTTGATGTTGATTGAAACATATACAGTATTAGGCTCTTATCTTTACTTGGACATGTGAAGAGCAATGTTAACTAAAGAATCTTCTTAATTTTTGACTTCCCATCAAGCATATTAAATGTTCAAGGAACTTTACAGGGCATATGCATACTTCGCTAAGGCTCCTATTAACTCTAGAGACAAGCTAAACAATAGATGATCGAAGTCATCATTAATCAAATACGCTGTTTGTGTTTTAAACTCTAATTGTGGCAAAGGCGGCTTATCCTGTGCTCCTACATTCTTTCTCAAATTGTTTCCATATTCATTGTCTCCTGGTACAATACGATGGAAACGCTCCGGGAGCAGGTACAGTATTGCGCAGAGTGTAAAGCGATCGAGCCCTGCAATATTTTGGAAACCATTCCCGGCCCTTCCATTGGGTTGTGGAAAAGTAGGTGGCCTGGACGCAAAAGGCTTGTCCTGGCACTCTGGCTTCTGCCAATTCAACAAGCAACTTTTGAAATCAATCCTTTTTGCATCATGCAACGGATGCCACCTCTCCTCGAGTTTGCAACCCCCCACCCCTCCCCCGAGACCAATCATTGCCGCGCTCGGGCCTGCACAACGCCCCCGCCCCCTTCCCGGGCCGCACGCAGGCACCGAGCCGCTCCTGCCGCGGCCCGCCACCTCTTAAAGGGAGGTAGCCGGACCTTAAAGGACCCTCGAGCACCGAGCACGGCGGGAGCGAGGCGGCCCTGTTCCCGCAGGGGTCCGCGGAGTGAGGACGAGAACCGCGGCACCCAGGCGCGGGCCCGGGGCTCTCCCGCCCTCCGCACTGCTGCCGCCGGGAGCAGCATTTTTATTCAGGCGACGCTTAAGGGAGCCCTGGCCGCGCCCGGTGCATTGTGGGAACGGTCGGGAGTCCCGTTTTCGGGAGGAGGAGGAGGGCGAAAAGCGAACCGGTAAGCTCCTGGCTTGGGGGAGGGGGGGCGAGACACCAGACTTAAAGGGGAATATTCGTCCACAAGCCCATTGCGGCCGTTGCAAATCCCCTTCCGTCCCACTCGGGACCGAAGGGGAGACGTGCGCGGCTGGCCCTTTCCAGCCCTGCTTGGAGAGGGGGCAGAGCCAGGGGTTGGTGGGGCCGCTTTAAAAAAGAAGCACCGCCCGCGCCGCCGCTGCCGCCGCCTGCAGCCTCTTGGAGCGGGGAAAGGAGGGAGGGAGTAAAGAGAGGAGGAGGAGTGGAGGGGGAGGGCGGCGGCGCAGGGGTTAATTTTTTCACCCGCCGACATTTTTGTTTGGCGGCGGCGGCAGCCCGCGCTCCCGGCGGGAGAATACTGCCCGGTCCCCAGGACGCGGCGCG